TTTTTTGATTATCATTCCAAGAGGTCTACTGCTTGGCATTACGAGTATGTACTCTTAATGCACGATAAGCCAAACATTCCATCTTGATTCCCATGAACCAATCCTAGGCTTCTTGGCTCAATGAAATAAAGTACTTTGAATTTATCAATTGGATAAAAAGTTCAGAATAGTGGTTCATAAATTAGAACTGCCAAGAGTATGCCCATAAAGGAAAATGAGAAAACAGAAGAAGAAAGGTCTCTGTTTGAACTTAAAGCATCTGGTCAAAGGCCAACAGGGCCACACGCCCCACTGCTGCACACCTCTGGCACCTCTCTCAGGTACTGTTCAGCTTCAACTGAATTTTGGCAGCTTTGGACTCACCTGGTCCAAGAGAGCAGCTGAAGCAAATTCACAAGGTGAACCATAATACTGATGACATTAAGAGCACTGGATGGTAAATGAGTATTGTTAGGCTGTAATAAATCAGAAGTTCAATCAAAAATGATTTAGTGCTAGTACTTTTTGTTTTAGCCAGAAATATTACGGCTTTTTTTTTTTTTAAAGTAATCTCTACACCCAACAGTGGGGCTCAAACTGACGACCCCAAGATCAAGAGTCACATGCTCTTCTGACTGAGCCAGCCAGGTGCCCTAAAATTAATGCTTTAAAAACTATATATAGGTGGCTCTGTTGCTTGCTCTCATTCTCTGAGAATATGTTTAGTACGGAGTATACATTTAGTATTAGTTTCTGGTTACTAGAGCATTTAAAGGAGTCATATTTCTAATGAAGACTGAGTAGGCCCTGATAAGAAAATATTAGGCTTTAAAGATCTAATTGCTAAAGAAATACAAGTTTGGTAAGAAGATGTGAGACTCAAATCAGAGAAAGAAAAGAAACTGGTTTTAAATTGTATGATTTCCTGAGAGCATAGTCAAGTGCCATCACAAAAAGATCAAAAGAAAATCTACATTTGCTGAAGGTTCTCTGAGGAGAAATTATATGGTGTGTGTGTGTGTGTGTGTGTGAATATGTGAGTGCATATATGCATATATTTCCAATTATGAGCTGTATTAGGTTAGAAACTATTTGAAATGTCAAATTAAAAAGGTGAACAGTCAAGAGAGAAACAAAAATAAAGTCAGACTACTCACTGAACAACAACAAAAATATTTACCAAGAAAAAAATCAACCCAGCTCAACCACTTCCTTCCCAAGTAAGTTTCTGTTTAAGGTGCCTGAGTAGATATTTGATGACAAACCCAACAAGCCAGTGTTCTATAATCACTTTCTTTTCCCGTGGGACAAAAAGACACTTAGAGCTACAAAAAGAAATGGAGGGCTATCTAAACTGCCAAGAATGAAAGGAAAAGTAGCAAAGTATTTCTTTGGCAAAACTGAGGAAATTATATTTCAAAGGACTTAATGGCTAATCACGAAGTGTCAGCCTCATTTAATTCTCTGAACCTATATATCATGACTTATTTTCAGGATCTGGTTACACTATTCCTGTAACTCTTAAAATCCTTTCCATCTGATGTTTAGTGGTTTAGAAAGAATCAAGGCCATAACCTTGTCTATAACCCTTAGCTAGAGGTTCATGAGATCTAAAGGCTAGTGCCTTTATCCCCCTAGTTTCTCAGGTGAACCCTCCATCAAAATTTTTCCTTCATTCATGACCATTTCCAGATTTCCTACTTTTACTATTAAATAGAAATGCTTCTGGAGTGAGGGGAGCCATTTCTTCACCCTTTGAAAACTAATACTAATTTAGAAATCAACCTTACTCTACCACTCATTAAAATGTGAACTACTGATTTTACTTGCCCAGAGTATAAAAGTCATACTATGAAGACAAGTTGAAATACACAGCTTAAATAAAAGGCTCTGAATTGTGAATTTGGGGGCAGGTGTATTATGTACTTAGATCCTTCCATGTGAAGTCCTACATCTATAGCTTTGGTCCAACAAATAAAATAACCAAGGTGGCAAAGAAAGATTAGAGCTGTGACATTTTAAGGGACTGCCCCATTCCAAAATTAGCTTTCTATATCAAGGTAAAAATTAAATTTTATATTATCACCTAAGAGTCTGTTATTTTTATAAAGCTCTAATTAAAAAAAAAATTACTGCTTCACGTTTGAAAGAACAGATAACTAGTTACTGTAGTTACTGTGGCATTTTGTGATTGCCAGTGGAGCCAAGATCCTTACTATATCTTCTTAAACTGCCTACTACGGATTACTAGAGATTCCAGAATTGGCAACAGTTAACTAAACTACTTCTCTCCCCAAATAGATAATCTCCTGGATCTAAAATTTTGACAGACTTACTTTGGGATAAAATGTTTTTCAAATTCTCTGTCATATAGGGAGATCTAATAACAAATTTGAAAATCATTTTTCTAAATGTGGTTTCCCATACAATGGATTGAATCAGACACAATTTAAGGAAGTATTTAGTTTATTTTCAGTGACTAAGAACGTTTTTTAGCATGAATATATTCATGGGAGAAGTGTAGATCTATTTTTCATTTCAACCAAGTCAGCCTTTCTCAGGTCCCATGGGAAAAAATCTACTCTTAAAACTTGAATTCCTACTTTGAGTAAAAAAAATCAGGAATACTATTTTTAACCACTAAATTATTACTATCTGGACATATTTAAACAACCAAAGGTAGGAAGTGTTCTAATTGTTCTTCCTGATCTCTCCGTGACAGGCCAGCCACTTGGGCCAGTAGGATGATTGCCACTAGCCTAATCCATCAGACAAACATAGGTCGAGGAGGTTTAAAAAAAAAAAAAAAAAAAAAGCCTAAGAAGCCCTGTAAAGCTCCAAAACCATACAAAACTCCATTCCCTGTCCTATCCTCTCCTCCCCCATTTTGAATATTCAGATCTGTATAAATAGTCTCTTAATTATTTGTAATTAACACAACGCTGATTTGCATGTCCCAAAGTCTCTACTGGCCATTATTAACAATTACAACAGTGAATACCTATGTAGTATGAAATGCCAGGCAGTGTTTTAAGTGCTTTGGTGTTCTTCAAATAAAAATCAAGAGAATTGTCCAAGTTTCTGTAAAGTTATAGGGGCCTTTGTTAGGACACCTATTTGGTAAAGACCTATATATTCATATAACTTGGATTTCAGTCAACACAAAGTTGTTTTTACTTGATCAAATACAAATTCTGCTGGCTAATTCTATGAAAAAATAGAGAAATGTATTAAGGTTTTTAACACTAGATAAATAAAAATAGTGAACAAACTGGTCATTTGGCAAATAAAAAACTAATTTCTAAAAACCCACTGAAATGGCAAAGTGATAGTCATATCACTTAAGGGAAAATGTTACTGAATAGACAAAGCAGAAATGTTAATACTATTTAAAAGATACAAACAGTACAAATGAAATGGGAAGACACACAGCAATTTTTAGGGTGGCTGTATTTAATAAAGTTTTAAAAAACCTCCACTTTTTAAAGTCAATTTCTTTAATGCAAGAGTAATTCGCAGTAAATAGATCATATATATATAGTATATATAATACTAATAGTATTGGATTTTCTTTGCAAATTCTTTTAGTTCAATTATTACTAAAGAAATTAACTTTTAGTTTACAGGCATTACAAATCCATCTAAAAAGCTAGGCAGTGCTACTGTGTTTAATGGCTTGCAATACTTGTATTAGGGATTAAAATATGATTGTTATAACAACCAAAGTAATTTAAAAGTGGAATTCTGTAAAGATGTGTTTTGTCACTCTAAAATGCGACTACCTTTCCTACTGTCTGTATTCTAAAATTCTCAAGGTCTGTTTACTTAAATCTTAAATAGTTACAGAATTCAGTCACAGGCTGTTGTATGAATTGTGTCCTCCAAAAATGTATGTTGAAGTCCTAACTCCCAGTACCTCAGAATGTGACCTTATTTGGAAATAGGGTCATTGCAGATTAATTAGTTAAGATGACATCATACTGAAGTAGGGTGGGTTCCCAGTCCAATATAACTGATGTCCTTATAAGAGGAAAATTGAGACACAGACATACACAGAGAGATGATATGAAGACACACGATGGAAGACCATTGGTCATTTGACAATAGAGGCAGAGATTGAAGTGATGCACCTACAAGTCAAAAACACCAAGGACTGATGAGAACTGTCAGAAATTTGGAAGAGGAAAGGAAGGGTTCTCCTCTAAAGCCTTCAGAGAGACAGCATGGCTCTTGGCAACACTTAGATTCGAACTTCTAGCCTCTGGAACTGTGAGATAGTAAGTTTCTGCTGTTCTAAGCCCCCTGATTTTTGGTAATGTTGTTACAGCAGGAAACTAATTACATAGATCATGAACTAAAATCTACCTTTCCAAAACAGCATCTTTTAAAGTCAAGTCAGCAAAACCTGGGGTCAAACACCTGTGCAAACAAAACCTGTGTAACCATGGACTTGAGGTTTGCTTCATTTGTAAAAAAAAAAAAAAAAAAAAAGAGAGAGAGATAACAAATCCTACCAGTGTATTTCTGAACATAAATTATGTACAATGTCCACAACACAGAGGCCAAAAATGTTAAGTCTCTCCACCCCCAAGCTCTTCTCTCTCTGTAATAAGAATGCATTTTAACCTGTGGTCATTTGGCTAACAATTCAGAAAACAATATGATAAAAACAGAGGGCTATAATTAAAATATCATTAAGTAAATTTATAAAAAACACTGTCCTAAATTAAGTTCTGATGGTTTAACTACTTAGAAATCTCTAAATCCTTATCCTCAGTATGACCACAATATCTAAGATGTCATGCTCTTCAGAACTTCCTGATATGGTAAATGCTACCCTCTCCTTTTTAAAAAGGTTCAAAGTAATTTCAATTACCACAGAAAGATCAATTCTTAAACAATAGTTTATCCCTTATACTTTCAAAGGTTAATTTTATTCAATGCAAGTCTTCTGATTTACTAATATTCTTATTAATATGCAAACTGACCCAAGTTCAGTAATAAACACAAGACTCCTGTTATTAAAAAGTCATTGTTCAAATACAGGAATTTATTTCATGTAATAATAACATAAGCAAAATAATAATTACCTTTGACAAGATTAGTAGAAATAGAAGTATAACTCACAAATATAATAAGCATGTTCCCCTGACATGTGAATTAGCCAGTAATATGGCCACAATGTTTAGAGTCCTCTTTCCAAAGACTCTGGAAAAGGTGATCAGAGGCCAGCACCATGACATGCTATGGATTAAACCTTATATGAACCTAAGTTTAGTGATATTAACAGAAGACTTGAAGAGAAAGAAATCCTAGAATCAGATTATATATTCAAATAAAGTAAAATCACTGCAAATTATCCACTGCCACCAAAGACAACAGAGCTAGACTCTAAAACTACTTGAATTCAAGTGTTGAATAAAGACTAACACTGAATGCTTACTATGTGTAAAGACAGTTTTACATATTTAACTTCATTCAAGCCATGGAATATTCCTAATATAGGAGTTTTATACACAAGAAAACTGAGTACTAAGTTTGGACTATACATACAGTATACAAATGCTGAATTTTAGAAAGGAGCTGCCAAAGCCACAACCTAAAATATAAATTTGCAAGCAATCACTGGCTCTGCTTTACATGTATGAAAACATTTTAAAAAATAAATAGGTTTTGATATTTTATTTTATTTGTGGGGAAAGCTGTAATCAAAAAGAAATCTTATTTAATATCTATGCAACACAAACTTGCCTCCAAAATAGCATGTTATTAAGAAAGTTAACATTATATCATGGTATACCCTTAAGAAAAACCCAAATCCTGAAAACAGAATCTAAGAAAATGAAGCTGAAGTGATTGTTTAGCTATAGGAAAAGAAGATAGTCCCACATATACTTGTAATAGCGAAAACACAAGTTCAATTTAGTGTTTAAATGCAGCCTTACCCTACAAGGATAAGACTGATTGGTGGTTCAAGTTTGTTTTTCTGCACAAATTTATTTGCCTTTTAAACAGAAGAGGAATTAATAGTTTGTGAGCCTCTGCCATGTACGTCTGGCACTTTAGAAGGTGGTACACACTAATTTTTGAAAGTAATAAACTTGGGTTTCAATCTTTGCTCAAATATTTATAAGCTGTGTGACCTTGGGAAATAGCTTAAATCTGTGACAGGTTTCTTGTTAGTAAAATAGATATTAAAATATTAATACTACAAGACTGTCATGAGGCTTATATACATAGTAAAATTATCCCAGTTCTTGTCACATAGTACGTGTCATTAAATATTAGCTAATATTATCAATAATTTAAAAAGTGTAACCCTACAGATTAGTTAAGAAATGATGCTTAGAAATACAGTAACTTGCCTAAAGACATATATCTAGCAAATGTTAAAGACAGGTTTGAAAACCTAATGTAATGAAATCTGTGGTCTCTTTAAAAGTTCCAATGTCGTTAGTCTTTCCCTTTGTTCTTCCTGCTTCCTCAGCTGGTTTTTTACAGAAGTGAAAATTTATTTCATAGACTCAATGTATTTAAATGCTAGAAATGACCTTAGAAATCACTAAGCCAAGGGGCAGCAGATTGTTTTCACCATAATTCTGTCCAATTGATAGTCCTTGCCTGAAGTGAAGGGTCAAAAAGGAGGCTGGAGTGCTATGATGAGAAGAATTTGAGGATTCTGAGAAAGGCAGAAAAATAAGACAAATAAGACAAAATAGTGATAGCTGCCCATGGAGGTTTAGAGAGGGACAAACAACAAAGGTCAACCAAGTGCTACATTCTGCCATTGCCACACAAATGTAATAGACTCATTAAACTCATCTAGTTCTCATTAATTCTTGGCTCAAAGTCACAAGTTCCAAGTTTACTCTCTACCATCTAGTGAGCTCTGTGCATAAGAGCTCCCTCTGCTTCCTTCACTACAGATCATCCACTATCCAAAGCACCTAACACTTCTACAACAATATAAAGTTAGCCTGTTAGCACAATTCTACCCCTTGACCTATAGTTTCCAATTTACTTAGAATTGGAATTTAATTACTTAGAATATTCGTTCTATATCGCGACTAGAACAAGGCCGGGTAATTCTAAGTATACATACAGAATGAAACAACCACCCTGAAAGAGGGGAGAAGTAGAGGGGAAGAAAAATGTCTGAGCAAAGCTCATGCAAAATAAGCCACTGATCTGCATTAGTTTTTGATGTGCAACCCACATCTAAGTAGTCTTACTAGTAACATTACCAGTCCTTGATAAATTTAATGCTCGTAATTTTGTCCCAAAAGGGCTCCTTCTATAATCAAAGCATTTAATTCCATGGTATCGAGTAAATTTTTCTTTGAGGTATCCTATAACAAAGTTTCACTTGAGTCAAAAATACTTCCTATAAAACCATCTCATATGCTTTCCATCGCTTCGCTTTAATTCATTTTTAGATTAATGCTTAATGCTTTAATGAGTTTAAAACATCTGTGATAATGACTTCCCTGTTTTTATTCATACTCCAACACCAACCGCCACAAATTATACACTTTATTGAAACACTCCAAATAATTTTTATATCACCAAAGTATTTTACTTAAGGAATTTTTTAAAGAATCTCAAGTGCACAGTATATTAAGTATTACATGTTTTAAATTATCTGAAGTGGTGGTATGTGGGAATCTAAAAAGTAAATATACACCCAGGGAGGGGTGTGTGTGTGTGTGTGTGTGTGTGTGTACATATGTATAAAAATATGTATCTCCCCAGGGAATTCTGTATTAGTCAGTCTGTGGTGACATCCCTCCACCTCCTGATATTTCCAAATAGACCCAGCAGGTGATTCTGTTATACATTTCTTGGCTGAGAATCACAGACACGGTGTATTTCAGATTGCTTTCAATATGTATGCCCCTATTTAAAGTAACCCCCCCCACTCAAGAAAATAATCTGGGCCATTAATTTTGAATTCTAGTTCCAGAAAGTTTGGCTAAACCAAGGTATCTTGTTTTTAAATCTCCCATTAAAAAGTAGTAATCTTTTTTTCTTCAGAAGCGGAAAACAAAAATTTTAGTGCCTAAAACTTATAGTTTAAAAGATGTTTTATATAAAACCACATCATCCTCAATTAAGGAAACATTTATAATTCTCTGCCACACTGCAGTATTTATGACTATTTACAAATATTTAGTTTTTAATTTTACCTATCTTAAAAATGAATATAAAGGACTTGCTTCTCCTCTTCTACATTATGTAAAATATTTGAAGAGAAAAATGCTAATGTTTTCTTTCTCTGAAAGAGTTAAAAGCCCTTAAGACATTTTATTAATATAGCACCCGATAAAGTAATGATAATAAAGGCACATAAGGTATAACAAAATTATTTTTAATTGAATATTAAAATTTTCTTTTTCTTTAAAGTTGTGCCCATCTAAAATATATACAATGACAAAAAACATCATCAAAATGTTCTTTAAATGACTTAATGAATAAGGGATTATATATATAAAATTCATAATGAATACCATATTTGATTCTAAGACACTTTACATTTTGACATTTCTGAATTAGGATGGGTCTTATAATCACTGGCATGTTATGTTGGAAACATTTTTTATTCCTGAATGGTTCTCACAATCAATGGTACCTTAGATCTGATGAACTAAGGTGTTCGTTTATAAAAAAATACTTTTTCAAATTAAAAGAGGTAACTTTTTCTTTTCAAATGTAACAAAACTGACCCACCCCCAAAACAACCTTAAATGTGTAGCTCCATAACTATAATCTTTTATATGAGTGAAAATGGCCAATAAATTTAATGAAGCAACTAAATTATCAGGACAAAAGAAACTCTAGTAATATAAGAGCTTAAATAATGAACAAATTTTATCAATTAAATATTACATGAAGTCATTTTCAGAGTTTTAAAGTGAATAATTTTATACTATTCCGTTTTCCAATGCTAAGCATTTGTCCATCCTACGTACTGAAATAAATTTAGCATTCCACCTATAATATGCTACAAATAATGATTGCTTTGCTGTAAGATAAATTGCTAACTGCAATATAAATGGTCAAAGTACATTATATTTATGCTATAAATAGAAGCCAATGTTTAATGAAATGTTTAAAGACAAAAAAAAATTTAAAAAGTAGTTATCTACTAAAACTGTAGTCTACAAATACCTCAGAGAGTCATATCATTCTCTAACATATCACAAATCAAAACATTATTGATTTGGTGGCTAATGTATAGATACTGCCTGCAGCACTTTGAAGAATTTTATTAAAGTGGTTAGGTTACTCCTTGCATATTTCTAATGGCTAGCATTCTAGTGACAGTACTGGGATCAAAAGCATCAAAACATGATAGGTCTTGCGTCGAACTTAAAGATAATTAACTTCTCTCCATTATTTAAAAAAATGGTGAACATAAGTATCAACTTTGGAAATTCAGTATGAGGATGAATAATATCCTTTCACTTAAATACTATACTACCAAATAGGAACAAAGTGAGAACAAGTACACATAATTATTTTCAACTATTTTCAGAGTGTCACACACTCCCAAGATGGGATTCTACAGTTACTGACAACTGATTAGGTTAACTTTCACCACCAGAATCTTCAAAGCAGTGCAATACTTGTATATATTTTGTTTTCAAGTTTGCACATGAAGGCCCAACAGTGACAAAAAGAAAACTTGGGATCAAAGGTCACTAAAAAGTCTTACATTTTTATTGCTACTTAATCCAAGTGAATGTCACTTAATTTTAATAATGGTAAATGCAACTAAAGTAGTTTGAAATCCCAGTCAATATAAGTTCCTTAAGGACAAGGCTAATCATTCCTGAACATTAATACTCTGTACCAATGTCACAGTTTTTCCTGTTTTCCTAAGGAAAAGACTGAAACCAATTCAAATTACTGGACTGAATTACTGTAGAAATAAACACCCAGTTTCCACTAGTACCCACTTCTTCACGTAACAAAACAAATAATGTACTATTTCTGTTCAGAACCTATAAGAAGAAATGACTTGATTTTTTGGCCAGGAACCATCCATAAAGCTCTTATAGCTCTTTAGATCATCAAGAGGTAAGCAAAAACAATCCAATTTTAAATAGCCGGTGTGTTCTATCGTTACTTTGGGCAGGCTTGACAAACATAGCTTAAGAATTTTAGAGAAATAGAGCAAATGATGAATAGTTGGGAATGCATAGGGAGCAAAAATGTCTATTCATAGGACCAAATAAAAGCCTTCATTAGGAACGAAAAAAACCACCAATGGTTTTATATATATGTATATATATGTAAAACCCAAAGGAAAAACAAACAGCAAATAAATGAAAATTAAAAGCAAAAATAAATAAATAAATAGAAAACTAATCCCCAATTTTTCTGCTACTCAGTTTACCTTGGAGGCTAATCTGAACAGTGTTACCCACAGTCTACAAAACACATGGTGGACGCTTTGTTCCTGATATATATAATGTTTTTAAATCCACCAACACCTCTATACATTCTGTGCAATTAAGAAATCCACTTCAGGCAAGTAACAAGTACTTTAGTACTAGCACTATCTATGCAGAATAGCAAATATAATGTGAAACAAAGCAATGCAAGCATTCATGTGAATTTTGGCTCCATGCTAACTCTGGTTTCATGCCTAACTACATTAAAATAGAATTGCCAAACGGCCAATGCATTTCTTTACAATAGTTATTTTACCTTCATAAAAGCTAAGAAGAGTTTTGACTATAAGCATTGTCAACCAGCCAAATTTCTCTAATTTTCTATCCGATTTTGAAGACTATTTTATTATCTAAACTATCCGCTATTTTTCTCTGTATGTACACGAAGATAGACATACAGAGAAACAGAAGAATCTACGTATGACTTACACAATAAATATACACAGATATTACATACATACTAATGAGACTGCATGATTTTTATATCAAAGTACATGTTTTTCCACCACACAGTTCTTCATTGTTGTTAAGAGTAATAAAAAACTTCTGCAACAACTAATAAGCACATGCTGCTAATGATCCAGGGTTTTAAGAATTTGTAGATTAAAAAAATACAATTCCTAGAACACTGTTATCAAACAAGTAAGTTTTATTGGCATCTAAAAACAAAATTCACCCAACATTGAAACGTACTTTAATATTTATGTTGTTTTCTTTTTTTTCTTTTTTCTTTTTTACTCACTGCAGTATGAGGAACAAATCACAAACACTTACTTTGGAGAAACAGAGACCATAGTGTAGATTTTACAAAATCACTTTTTAAAATCTCTGTATTGTGCTCCTCAAATATCTAGAGCCAGTCTTTGCATAAAATATCACAGCTTTGTCTATTACCTTAAAATTCTGCAGCAGCCTAAAGATATGGATAAGATATACCATCACTTGCTATTTTGAAATATATCTATTACCATATCCAACCTAATGGTAGTATCTAAAAAATTCTTTCTTCCATAGGAAGTCTCTGACAAGCTGTTATTCATTTCCTTGAAGTTAAAAGAATCTGGGGGCAACATTTATATTTTATCAGAAAAATAAAAAAATGTTTACCTACCATGTTCATATTAAGAACAATGTCTATACAAGTCAGTTGTACAATTATTTTAAGAGAAAGGTGAACATGAACATCAGATTAACTTAATTCTGGCAGACAAAAGTGAACAACTATGGTCCAGTCAGCCATTAATCTATTACAGAGAGATGACAACTTTACAAAAGGTATCTTTTACCTACTGAGCGATGATTATGTCCCCTCAGTTTCTGTGCTTTCTACCACTGGTTCACTTTCTATATCAGCAACTGTGTCACTCTTCTCCTTGTTTATTTCACTTGAAGATGTCAGTTTTTCATAAAGTTCAGGATCATTCTGTACTGGTAAAGGTGGTGGTTGGGCATGTCTCTCAGTATTTTCACCATTAACCTGAGGCACGTTATCACCTTTTCGTTGAGAAGTGGCCCCTTCAAAAAAATCAAAAACCCGAGGATGAGGAGGGGGGACCCAGGTGTTTTGAATTCTATCTCGTCCAAGACGGTTTCCATTAATTTCTCTGCAGAAATCAAAATCTCTGTCATCCCTATCCCTTTGCCTCTCCCAGGGTCTTCTGCGGTCATCAAAATCTCTGTGAACTTCTTGTCCAAATCCTCTGTTCCAAGGACCGCTTCTAGGATCAAATCGATAGTTTCCAGACCGAAATCTACCTCTTTCTTCATGTAAGCCTTTTGGACCACCATAGACAGGTAGAACCCGATGTTCTCTCTCATCAAAATCTCTATGCCCCCAGGGCTTCTCTGGATTAAAGCCAAAGTGGTCTCTTCGACCAAGATGATCTATGCCTGGCCTCACAAGATTCTCTCTAATATCGACAGGAGGTCTTCCAAAATGATCCCTACCATCTAATGGAGGCCTTCCAGGACCTTCTCTTGGATCTATAGGCCGTCCAACCACATCCCTAACATCCACGGGGGGAGGTCTACTAATGCTTTCCCTGGCTTCAATGGGAGGAAACCGGTAATCTCTATCTCCTTCCTGTTGAATGTTATCATTCCCAAGTGGTATCCTTTTTTCTGGATTGGTAACATTGTCTACACTTTGTCTTCCAGGAACTAGAAAAGGTCTTTCTGGCTGACTAAAAATATCTCCTGGAGGAAAAGGACCACGGGGTGGCGGATGAAGAGCTGAATCAAGTACCGATGGGGGAGGGATTCCCCTTTGGGGTGGAATTCCAGGCTGTATTAAAGGGAATCTTGGTCCAGGTGTCTGTGGTATTAGTCCTGGACGAATGTCTAACATTGGCATTGTGGGCATCCTTTGACTAGAGAGATTTAAAGGGGGTAAGTTCTGAGGCCCAGCTGGTGGTTGTGTCCCCAAAAGTCCAGCGGCGTTTGGAACATTTGGTGGCTGTACTCCTATAAGTCCGGAATTATTAGGGATATTTGGGGGGAGCACTCCCAAAAGTCCAGAACTACTTGACACAGTTGGTGGCTGTAGTCCCAAAATTCCAGAGTTATTTAGAATATTTGGTGGCTGGGCTCCAATAATCCCAGAACTACTGGAAACATTAGATGGCCGGATTCCAATAATTTCAGAATTACTCGACACATTTGGTCTTTGGACTCCCAGAATTCCAGAATTGCTTGTCACATTTGGCGGCTGTCCTCCTAAAATTGCAGGGCTACTTGGAATATCATTTGGAATCACTAAATCAGAAAGAGGAAAAATAACACAAAAAATCATTCTGGTATAAAAGGAAACTGTATTTGTCATTACTAATGCTATAGTTAGCTAGCCTAGAGTTAATCAACTACTTGTATGCCAGAAGAATCAAGACACATTAGATATTAAACAAAAGTTAAAATTATTAAATACCATGCACAGTGAAATTTAAAATATTAAAACATAAGTGGGATGTTACTTAAAAATCTTTACACAGAACATTTAAAGAAAAATGTCAGGTATTATAGGAATTCTCCACCTTTAACAAAGATGTTTCTAAAGTACAAACAAGTTTTAATATACTAACAGTGGTGCCATAAAACAGGACTTGCTACTTTCAAATATATTTATCTTTTAGACCTAGGTAGAGAATACTGGGTAAAAGTTATTCATACCTAATACTTGCTCATTCTTATCTTTCTTTAAGTATATATATTTTGTGCAACTGTATTTTATTTTTTTTATTCTTATGTTAATCACCATACATTACATCATTAGTTTTAGATGAAGTGTTCCATGATTCATTGTTTGTGCCTAACACCCAGTGCTCCATGCAGAACGTGCCCTCCTCAATACCCACCACCAGGCTAACCCATCCTCCCACCCCCTCCCCTCTAGAACCCTCAGTTTGTTTTTCAGAGTCCATCATCTCTCATGGTTCGTCTACCCCTCCCGATTTCCCCCGCTTCATTCTTCCCCTCCTGCTATCATCTTCTTCTTCTTTTTTTTCTTAACATATATTGCATTATTTGTTTCAGAGGTACAGATCTGAGATTCAACAGTCCTGCACAATTCACAGCGCTTACCAGAGCACATACCCTCCCCAGTGTCTATCACCCAGTCACCCCATCCCTCCCACCCCACCCCCCACTCCAACAACACTCAGTTTGTTTCCTGCGATTAAGAATTCCTCATATCAGTGAGATCATATGATACATGTCTTTCTCTGTTTGACTTATTTCACTCAACATAATACCCTCCAGTTCCATCCACGTCGTTGCAAATGGCAAGATCTCATTCCTTTTGATGGCTGCAACTGTATTTTGATACCAACACATTAAAGCAGTCCCAATAGGCCCAAAAAAGGAGGGGTAGAGGTCGAAAAAGAAACGTGCCAAAATCTATTACTATCCTGAATAGAATGCCAACTTTTTTCGAAGAGAAATTCTAGGAGATAGTGATCTCTTTTTAAACATTGCAACATTTCAATATTGGTGCACTTAACTGGTTACAAATGCACGGCATCTCAAAATTAAACACCAATATAGAGAAGTAGTACTTATGATTTAACTATGTATTTCTGGGGAATTTATTTGTTTTACCTGATCTGGTGTTTTCACCAGAAGGAATCTGGTGGTCTAGAAGATGAGGTACTTTTTCTTCAGGCTCTGCTTGTTTAGTTGGAGGATTAAAAACATTTCCAGCTGGCAGAGTGGAAGTAGCAAGACTGCTGGCAACAGAACCGCCAGGTAAAACAAGACCACCAAATCCAACATCTTTCACAGTTTCTGGAGTCATGGATAATGGCGGCTGCACTAAAGCTGTTTAAAGAAGGAGAAAATATATTTCAGATTTATTAGGCAAGCAATTCATGTGCTAGTTTAAAAATATTAACCATGACCAACCCTGGCCCTGTCAAAGTTTTCAATGGCTTCCTGTCCTCTCTCCCCAATTGTTTGGTAAGACTACGCAGTTACCATAACATACAGGAATTCTCTTCTGGTCCCTCCATTTTATTTATAATGAAAACTAACTTCTTAGAGTTTGACTGTTTTTATTTATTGGCATCTACTACCTAGCACATTATATAATAACTGATGCTCAAAATAACAAGTCATCAAGAAGAGGCTAAATTACATTGAGAGCTTTTTTTCTAATAAGGGAAAACAATAATTTTTGGAAATATTTTCATAAAAAATGTTTAGTAAAATAAGGACCAGTACTTAAAACGAAAACGCCAATAGTACAAAAAATAATTTCCAAGAATGTCAGTACATGAATTTCTGAATATACAGAAATGATTCATGCAGACTGACAAATACATACAGTGATACAAATCTCCTCGATCCCCTTGAAATTATAATGTACTAGGGTCCTTACATTCATTACTTCTTGTCAAATGTGGTTAGAAAACCCATCACATTAAGAAGAGGTAAAGTGGACTACAAATAAAAAGGTATAAACATTCCATTTTAAAGAATGAGTAGAAAACTCCCTAAGTGTATATGTCATTTATATGTTAAAAAACAGAACTAGAGGAATATAAAGTCACAATTAAACCATCAGAATTTTTAGTCTAGTTTATGCCACAACACAGTTACATCATTGACTTGGGAATTTTAAGAACGGTTTTATCCTCACATTTAACTCCAACTTACCTGGACATACTGTTAGCACATAACGGAGCTATAAAATAGGAACAAAACCACCTGCGATCATGTATGGGAATTATGAGAATTACACAAGACAGTGTAAGCAACTAGGAGAGTACCTGACACATGGATGTATTTCTCTTTCCCCATTCAAGTGATCCCAGATTTTCTAAAATGAATAAACTAAAGAAATAATTGGGAGGTAAATTCTAGGATGAATCTCTGTGAATGCTGAATTCAGGAATGGCTTCAGAACACTCTTCTAATTTTTAGGAAGAACAAAGCATTCTTCCTAATGAACCAAAAATAACAAAAAAGAAGGATGCTAATCCTGTCAGAAAGGAAAAGTAGAGAAGGGTTTACAAATGTAAGGAAAATGGATTATATTATCAATAGGTAAGTTCTCTGTCACATATACAGTCCTTACACTAAAGTCCTTTGATGTAGTCATCTCAAAAGGATAGAGAAGCAACTATGAAAGGTCTTGCTGTCTAAAGATAAAACAAATTCTACTTCAGAAAGTGAATGCAACTGCTCTAAAGTAGAACTCTACTACTGATAAACACTAAAGAAAATGAAGAAGAGGTGAAGAGGAAAGGGAGAGAAAGAGGAGGAGAAATAAGAAAAAGCCTCTTCCCCTTCACTCACCAGGTATCCCTGGAAATACCCATAGAACTAATCACTCATCATGCTGAAAAATGGCACTTAAAGATAAGAACTTAGCATCTACCATGGTTCTCCTGCACAAATGTACATCAAGATAACGAAATACTACTAGTTGTGAGAAAAGGGTTTTTTAATAGAAAAATTCTAGGTAAGAAATGTGGAAAAATTATAAAATTCAAAAGATTAGCACTTCGCAACTAATGGAAAGTAGATTAAAAAGCAATAATGATCAATGGATGAAACCATCAGATGAAAATTTGAAGGGGAAGTTTTTTAATGACCAGGTTCCGTTACCTGAATGCTCTGATCCATCTTACCACCACTGAAAGTGGGGTGAGAGGAAACTGCAGGGCTCCCAATGTGATGTCACATCAAGTCTACAGCACCCACCAGTTAAATACTGTTGCTAAAAATGCTGAAGTAGATTCTAAGCAAACCTTTGGTGCTAAAAAACTTCCTATGTACAGAAAAAGCAGAAGACAGAGGAACAAATTTGATGCCACAAAGAAGCAAAACCAAATCCATTGTTTGGAATCTTGCATACAGAAGTAACTGTTTCTTCAACAAATCAAAGACATAAAGGATTAAAAAAGAAAGGGAGGTCTCAGCAGGACTGCTCTATATTAAGACATTTAATACACAAAATAAACCACACAAAGGTGATCTGGGGACTCTTCTTTGAATTTTGACTAAAACCAATTATAAATGACATTTTGAGACAACAGAGCAAATCTGAATATAGGATGACTATCACATGTTAATTTTTTAGAAATCATTTAACAAAAAAATGTATTTGTCTAAAATTTTCATAATAAAAAAACTAACAATAATTTGTAAGAATGAGAATCAATAGGTTAACACTACCATGAATAAAGAAAATTCCCCAACTAGAAAACTCACATGTTGGTACTACTGGTGGAATGGTGGGTGGTGGTACAACAGGTGGTGGAACTGGAGGTGGCATGAAACCTACACGGGGAAAAAAAGACCAAAACCAAAACAGCGTAAGAGTTACTTCTTTTAACTCAAAGATTTCAATAGCTATACATGAAATTCTACACTCTTAAAACAGTCTGCCATTACTATGACCTCATACTTGTGAATATATTCTTCATTTAAAAGCATCACTTTTAGGGGCGCCTGGGTGGCTCAGCTGGTTGGGCAGCTGACTCTTGATTTTGGCTGGGGTCACGATTTCAGGGTTGGGGGATCGAGCCCTGCGTCTGGCTCTACCCTCATCAGGGAGTCTGCTTAAGATTCTCTCTCCCTCTCCTTCTGTCCCTCCCTGCCCCACATTCATGAGCACACGTCTCTCTCTCTCTCTAAAATAAATAAATCTTTTTTAAAAAATCACTTTTATAACCACTACCTTAATATTTGATCCTTAGTAAGCTAAGTGAAGCATAGAGATCCTTATCATGATCGTGTCCTACTTATTTGCTCATTTGTGGAAGTCCTGTGGCACTCTCTACGATGCTATAAAGTCAAAGATTAATGTAAGCCAGGCAACTTGTTTCATATGTTAGCTCAATGACTGCATGGAGAGTTAAATACTGTATTTCAAGCTGTTGATAACACTATATGCGATAATGTCATCTGTAAAATGTGCTATTATATTTCTTTGATTTATACGCTATTTATCTACTAGATCAAAATATTTTCATTAGCCTTGGATGTTACTGTATTATGTTTTGAGCACTGAAATAAGCCTTCAATTTAATATTGATTGTTTAATAATTTTAAATGTCAAATGATCAAACTATAAACCTGTTTCCTTGCATTTTTAAGATATAGAACAACCATTAAATTCAATTTAAAAACAGTGGCTAAAGGGGCACCTGGGTGGCTCAGTCAGTTAAGCGTCTTTTGGTTTTGGCGCAAGTCATGTTCTCACAGGTCGTGAGACTGAGCCCCATGTCAGGCTCCATGCTCCTCGGGGAGTCTGCTTGAAGATTCTCTCCCTCTGCCCCTCCCCCAGGCTCGCTCGCTCCTCCACCCCCCCAAATAAAATCTTAAAAAAACAAAAAACCACAATGGCTAAAAATAAAGATATGTGATTTTCAACAAATGAATGCTACACAATGACTTTACAAAGTCTAGGTGGTATGGTTTTTGAAGTAATCCTTTAAAATTATCTTCTGAAAGGGTGCCTGGGTGGTGCAGTCAGTTAAGCACCCAACCCCTGGTTTCGGCTCAGATCGTGATCTCAAGATTGCGCGATCAAGCCCCACAACCAGCTCTGCACTCCATGCGGAGTATCCTTCAGTCTCTCTCCCCCATCCTTCTGCCCCTCCCCTACCCTCTCTCTTTTCTAAAATAAATCTTAAAATTATCTTCTGAAAAAAAATTTTAATTCAGATTCCAAATACAGAAAATATTTGACAAGAATAATTTTCCAATCTTTAACATATAAAAAAGAATTCTTATAATATCTGCATCAATTTCAAATTATATATTTAATTACAATGTGAAAATTTTGTTATATGACAAATAAATTACAAACATTCTCAGATAATGTTGAGGAATTTTTAGGAATTCTGTTCAATTGGTAAGAACTTAAATTATAGAAACCAAAGTATTTTTTTCTTACAATATGCAAAGAGTTCATGAAGTTCAAAGAAAGCTAAAAATAGCTTTGAAAACCAATGTATATCATTTGATCCCTTGTGCCTCTCCCTCATTCTTCTAACCTCCCATGGTCTAATACCAAAAGTTCTACCTCTAAGCTATATAAGCTATTATTTATATTTAATTGGTGCGTGTTAAGTAATCTATATAGTTTCTAAACTAGAAATGCTGACTCAAGGAACCTTTATCAAAAATTTATAAGGTCAAAAAAAGTATTACAAATTCAATTAGCATTTTTAGATAGATTATAATTTATGTCAAAATGAAAACCATGATTTTTAGGAGGAACAATCTATATAATTTAATGCATACTTCCTGATGAATGATGGGTGATAACTACAGAGAATTCTGATACGAAAAATTCAACATAAATTTTAAGTTATTTTAAGAATATTTCAATGCTTTTAAAGGATTCCATTTTTTTCTCTGTCCATACTGGTCCTTCAACCATCTCCATCACCTGGGAACTTGTTAGAAATACAAGTGTCTTTCCCTACCTCAGTCTTAGTGAAGCAAAAGGAGGCCAGGCCCAGCACACTTTGTTTTAACATGCCCTCCAAGTGATCCCTATGTATGCTAAGGTTTGAGAATTGATGCTCTATAGCATTTTAACCTGGAAAAATAACAATTTGAATGATATTGTAGGGCGCCTAGCTGGCTCAGTCAGTAGAGCACGTGACTTGATCTTGCGGTCATTAGTTCAAGCCCCACACTGGGTGTAGGGTTTACTTAAGGAAAATAAATCCAAAAAAATTTTTTTAAATGAATGAATGAATGATATTCTAAGTAGAGTACACATAAGATGAAAATTCCTGGGGTGCCTGGGTGGCTCAGTCAGTTACGCATCTGCCTTCAGCTCAGGCCATGATCTCAGGGTCCTGGGATCGAGCCCCATGTTGGGCTCCCTGCTCAGTGGGGAGTCTGCTTCTCTCCTTCCCCACTGCCCCTCTCCACTGCTCATGCTCTCTCTCTCAAGTAAATAAAATCGTACCAAAAAAAAAAAAAAAGATGAAAATTCCTTACCAGGAGGTGGTTGTGAAGGGTTAAAACTCGCTCGCAGAAAAGGAGGTGGAGGGATTGGACTGAATCCAGGAGGAGGAACCGGCATTGAGACAGGAAATGCTGGTGGGACTAAACTAACTGCAGGCACGGCTGGCGCTACTGGAATCTTTTGTAGATAGAAAATAAAAAGTCCATAAATCACCTTATCCATTAGCAATGATTACACCTTGGAACAACAAAAGGTAAAAAATTTCTATTTCTTTCTAAGGGAGATAACAAACACCATTATATTAAGTTGTTTTGTTATTTACCTTCTTGCATACTTATAACTGACTCTAACTTGGGGTAAAAGCAAGGCAGTGTTATTCAACAGAGAGTATACATGGAGACTGAAATCTATCTTACATTCAAGTGATGTAAAGTAATGGACCCCTGCCTGAATAGTGAATATCATGATCAATTTTAAACTGCCACCTCCCACTAAATTTAAAATACCCAGTTATGGTATGCAACCTAACCATTAGGAAGCAGGTCAATAAGTTTCAAAATGGCGTGAATTTCTCCTAAGTTTATTTTCTATTCCTAGCAGAGGTATTTTCTACTCATCCTAGGCACAGTAATTCCCAAATATGTACTTGTACTGTGGGTGTACCTCTTTCCTAAATTATGTATTATCAATGGTCTATTCAACTTCGTTGTCTGAAAGACACGCCAAACTTCCTTGTGCAAAACTGAATTCCCAAATGTCTTTCCCATGCTCAGATAAGGATAGCTTCATCTTTCCAATTTCTCAAACCAAAAACCTTACCTCTTCTCTTTCTCATAAGTCAAGTCTCATCATGCCATAAAAGCCCACTGGACACACCATCACATAACCCCTAATTAATTATCTGACCATTTCCTATTCTCTCCACTGCCATCAGTCTAGTCTGAACCATCAGCTCTCATCTGGATTGCTACAACTGTCTCTTTACTGGTCTCCCTGCTTTTATTAATGCCCACTAGTCTATTCTCAAAATAGTAGCCAGTGCAATCCTTTAAAACCAAATCTTTTAAAACCTTTGAAGCCAGATCAAGTCACTGCTTTCATCGAATTCCTCCAATAATGCTCCATCTCAGAGTGAAAACCAGAGTCCTTCTAGAACTCTCCCTTCCGCTAAGCTGCCTCTCATTCACTTCACTTCTAGCCCACTTGCTATTCCTGGAACACACCAAATATGCTCCTGGCCTAGGCCTTTGAACTGGATGCTCCCTCTGCCTAGAGTGCTCTTCCTCAGGTAGCCACATGGTTAATTACCTCAGCAACTTTAAGTTGTTGTTCAAATGTCACATTCTCGAGTCTGCTCTGACCATTTTATTTACAATCATAATCACTTATCCAGGCACCCTGATAACCCTCATACTCCCTTTTCCTTCCACAGTATCTCACAAACTTACTTATTTTGCATTTTCTGTCTCCCCTATTGAAAACAAAAGCTGCATAAGGGCAGGGGTTTGTGTGGTTTTCTTTCCACTGATGTATCCTTATCCCAGGTGCCTAGAACAGTGAATGTCATAGAAGGAGACCATGGATAAATACTTGTACAATAAATAAACATTTATATATAAATGACACCAATTCTAAAAAAAAAAAAATTTTCCCCAAAATTATTTAACTAAACTCCTATTTATTCTATCCTCCAAGTTTTATAAAGTAAATACACGAGTAAAAACAGAAATGTAAGACAACACATTAACAATAACAAACACCCAACACTAACCTGTAACATAGCAACAGGTGGAGGAAAAACCTCTGCCTGGGTTGTGACCACTGTCTCCTTTTCAACTGGAGTTGGGCTCTGAGTTGTCTGCACCGTCTCTTTAACGGGTTCTGAGCTTTTCACAGTTTCCCACTCTAAACAAAATATTTGAAATTGATTTCCTCTGGATAGGTGCAAATTTTCATTTTATGTCTATCTATGTATTTATTTCGTCTCTACGTCCTTCATCTACCTTGGCACATCTTTAAGACATGTCCACAACTACAGGTGCCAACCTCGGTTTTGCCCAGGTAAGTCTAATGAGAATACTAAGGAGTTCAAAGAAGCATCACACAAGACACAAATGAAAGATACTAAAATACTTAGGGGATATCATAGATATATACCTCAAAGGCTGTCTGATATATGAGGATCCAATCTTACTATCTTGTGTCACAAGGTACAAGGGGAGACCGACAAGGAAAAGTATTAACCCAATAAAGAAAAACCTTTCTGAAAGCACAGCTATGCAAAAATAAAACAAAGAAGCTCTCATGGTTCTTCCACTGGTTCTCCATCTCCCTCAGAGTAAAGATCAAAGTCATTATATTGACTAATAAGACTTTATAGGACTCTGTCTCTCTGTACACCTCTCTGACTTTATCTCCTACTTCTCATTCCTCACTAACTTTGCTCAAATCATACTGGTCTCATAATTTTTGAATAGACTTTGCACATATTGTTCCCTCTGTATAGAATGCTCTTTCTCCAGAGAGCTGCACATCTCACTCCTTCAAGTATCACTCTCCATTAGATCTTCTTCACGTAAAACTGCAATAGCTCCACACCCATACTGTCTACCCCCCCTCCCTGCTTTTTCTTCTTAGAACTTAGCAACCTAGAAATATATTATATAGTTTATCTATTTTGTTTATTATGTTTCTTTCCACTAGAAACATGGGTTGGCAAACTTTTCCTATACTAAGTATACAAGTTTACGAGCCATATGTTTTCTGTTGTACCTACTCAACTGCTATTGAAAAAAAGTCATATAAGATAGGTGAACACAACTGAGTATGGCTATGTTTCAATAAAACTCTACAGAAGAGCTTGCTGGCAGGATTTGGCCCATGGGCTATAGGCTGTGAACCCCTGTACTACAATGTGCACTCCATGAGAGGAAGGATTTTTGTCTGTCTGTCTCACTGATATAATCCCAGTTCCTAAAATCATGGCAGGCATACAATAGGAACTAAAATATTTACTGAATGAGTAAGTGTTTAGGAGAAATATCCAGCAAGAAGAAAAAAAGACCGACAAGATGAAAACACTGAAAAAGTGTTTGAAAATATTTGCACTGGCCTAAGGATGAAGATATCCTGAAAATTAGCTAGCTTACTTTGGTAAAAGAGTTAAGATGTGAAGAAATAAGCTATATACCACGTTACAATTATTTCCCAAGTATCCGTTTTAAGATTGCTTACTGGTTATAAATGCTAACCATTTTGTGGATTTATAACTGGTATTTTTAAAAATAAAAACATGAGTTAAAAAAAATAGGCCAGATGATCATTTGGTTATAAGCATTCTAGAATTGCATGAATCAGAACTACTAGCTCTCTAAACTAAGATTCTATTCCTGCCATTCTCAACATGGATACTAATCAAAATAATCTAGGAAGTTCTTCAAAGAAACTTCTTACATCCCCAGTTCTTATTTAACTTCAAGTAACTGAGGGGCACCTGGGTGGATCAGTCGTTAAGTGGCTGCCTTCAGCTCAGGTCATGATCCCAGGGTCCTGGGATCGAGCCCCGCATCAGGCTCCCCACTCGGCGGGAAGCCTGCTTCTCCCTCTCCCACTCTCCCTCCTTGTGTTCCCTCTCTCGCTGTCTCTCTGTCAAAAAATAAATAAAATCTTAAAAAAAATTAAAAAAAAAAATTCAAGTAACTGAAATATTTAGTTTAAAAAAGTCTCCATGGGCGCCTGGGTGGCTCAGTTGGTTGGGCGACTGCCTTCGGCTCAGGTCATGACCCTGGAGTCCCGGGATCGAGTCCCGCATCGGGCTCCCTGCTCGGCGGGGAGTCTGCTTCTCCCTCTGACCCTCCTCCCTCTCATGCTGTCTCTCATTCTCTCTGTCTCAAATAAATAAATAAAATCTTTAAAAAAAAAAAAGTCTCCATATACTCATATTTGCTCTTTCTCTAAAAGCAAAACTTTTTTAAAAGACTTAGAGGAAAAATGCTACATTTATAGACTTCTAAAACACTATACTCTGACACTTAGGAAATAAGACCCATTAAGCATACACACTGGAAATGGCAGTGTTTCAGTTTTTTTCTCTTTTGGGGAGGGGTAGAATCCAGGAAATAAAATAAGCGCAATTCACCTTACCATGCACAACTCTTATCGATTACAACCTTTTAAGCATACTTTTTTTTAAACAATAAAACTACCCTTAGTGTTCTTACCAGTATTTACAGTTTCCTGGTCAATCATGCCTCCTTCTGCAAAACCTTCCAAGTCATCCACTTTAACTTTTTCCCACGGTATATACGTAACTCCAAGATCCACATCCCAGAATTGTTTATATTCTGTTTTTACACCTTTGTTTAAAGCCCAAGCAATCTATCAGGAATGAAGAGAAGAAAACAGAAAGCTCAGATATACTGTAAAAACCAGGTAAAATGTTCAAAATTATATGTAAACAGTGTAAATATAAATAAAATTGTTGGACAAGCATCACTGGATGCTCGAAAAATAATAGTAGCCAAGAAGTTTTTCCATGTATTTCCTGGTTTTGTTTGTTTTTAAATAAAGCCCGCATTAGATAGCAACGGCATTTATAACATGGGATTTCCACTTCTTACTAAAATTAAAGAACACATTTCCAGAACAATCCAAATCTACTTCTCACCCTAAAAAGGTCAACCTACATTACCAATAATTAGAATAGTTATCATAACTTAAAACAAAATCTTGACAGTCTAGGAAAGGAGACACTTTACACAGAGGAAACGCTCTGCCATGAAATGACAAAGCACAGGCATATTAACCTTGAAAGTATTTTTTTTTAATTAACATATAGTGTATTATTTGTTTCAGGGGTAGAAAGTATTTTTTTAAAGTTTTTAAACTCAGTTGCAGAAATTGATGGAATAAATTATCTTCAAGTAGCAGAAATAAAATGTAAATTAATCACAAGAAGTAAAAATGGAAAACAAAAATATACTTATTAATAAACCCTTCACCAGTGGCCTGGAGAACACAAGATGTTAAAAAGGAGGAAATAATAATATAATTAAGAGGTATGATTAGGAAACATTAGGAGGAAGTAGTGAATGAAAGATAAGCTTGGGGTGTCTGGCTGGCTCAGTTGGTGGAGCATGCAACTCTTGATCTCAGGGTTATAGGTTTGAGCCCCACATTGGGTGTGGAGATTACTTAAAAATGAAAGAAAGAAAGGAAAGAAAAGAGAGGGGAGGGGAGGTGTGAGGAAAGAACAGAACAGAACAGAACAGAAAAGAAAAAAGAACTTACAAAATGAGAAAGTTCTGCTCATAAAATGGTGCCCTGGTTGACCAAGAGAACTATAAGTGTGATTTCAAAGAATCATTTGACTAAAGTTTTAGTTACTGTTTTACCTATTTCTAATTCTATAACTCAATAATACTGAAATAATAAGCTTTTCTAGAGGTTTTCCCGTAACATTAAAATAGAAGATGAATCAGATACAGGAACATTCTAATAATCCAATAAAAGAAGAGCACGGGTCCCTCCCCTCCAGTCTCACCTTAATGACCTTGGACCCAATTTTATATGATCCGGAACTAAGTTTCTGAAGAGCCCGAAAAGCATCTTGTCGATGAACCATGCAGACGTAAGCACAGCCCCTGGGAGGAATCATCTATTAAAAAAATTTTTTTCTTTAGAAAGGGTAAACATAAGGCATTCATTCTGACATTATCTTATGGTTTTAATGAAACAGATCACTGACTACTAAGATTGAATGGTTTTTCCCTTTTCTTTCTTTGGCTGTTTATTGGTACAATCCATCTACAACTAATTACTTAGTTTAAAAAGAATTCAAAACCTAGTTGGGTCTTACTCTAAGTCATAACATAAGCAAAATCTTGAATATCACATGTCAAAGTTTTCCTAATATACAAGAAAGAAATACTAAAAAAATGTAAAAAGACATGTATACAATACCACCAGATAAAAAGAAAACAATATTGCATGGCCAACATATTTGAAAGCATTTAATTAATTCAAAAATTGAAAATATTTCAGTTTTTCCAAGTATCATACGGAGTAATGGGAGAAAGATTTTCGTTTGGGGGAAGTATCTTATCCTTAATATAAAATCTATAATCTACAAGAAATGATAACACTAAAGCTTTTCAACTGTATAAAACTTAATTTTGCCCAAGTGCTTCTGGACAAGGTTTTAACACAAATAAGAAAACAGCTTTAGTGTTTTCACTTTCACTCAGAGTTCACCTCAAGCTATTTTCCATACTTTAATACCAAACTTCTCAAAAAAGAAATCTAACCCCTACATACTTCTTCCTCTTTTGCAAAACAGACCCAACTCTATGAATGCACTGAAAAATTTTCTTCAAGCTTACTAATGACCCACTAAGTGCTAAATCGAACAGACTTTTTACTCAGTCCTCAAACTCCCCCAACACCAACTGAAAGGTTTATAAACTTTCCATCAAATTTTCAAATCCTGGATTTTATCATTAGCCATTTAATACATTTCAGTTCACAAAATAACTCAGTGCCTATTATTTCTAAGTACTATGCTCTTAAAAGGTAATACAGAAGAGGGGGGAGACAAGGTAAACTAATGCCCAAATGACTATGGAACAAGAAAGGCCAAAAATGTCACAAGTAATAGGACAATCCAAATGCTGCTTGGATTCAGGATCCATTTGAGCAGTGATTCCTGACTTTGCATTAGAAATCACCTGTGCAAACTGTGGCACTTTGATAAGAATCTAAGGACCCTGATCTTGGGCATCCCTACTTTTTCAACTGTCAACACATTTCTGACATCTCAGCTAGGGGAAAATCAGGAAAAAATTCAGAGGTTATATGATCAAGGACTCCGGCAGATAGTTTATGTTTTGACAGGTGAAATTAAAAAGACAAAAGAGTAAGAAAAGCCTACAGCACACTCATGGTGTAGAGAGAGGAATATGAAACTCCTAAGTTGAAACACCCAACCAATCATCTATGTATTGTCTGTGCAACTCAGGCAAATCACTTAGTTTCCTCACTGGTAAAAACAATGGGACTTAACCAGCTTCTTGTTAGGTTCCAATGAGATCATATATGGTTGAAAGTAGTATACGAAATGGTCAAACAATTCAATGAAGAGTGCTGTTATTAATAAGGAAAAGTCAAGTTTGGTCATGTAAGGATCTAAGACTAGAAAGGAAAAGCAGCCAATTTCTTGGTAAATAATGATAAAAGTCCAACAGACAAAGTATAAAAACAGTAAATAAAATCAGAGGATTGATGAATTAGAAGACTTCTCAAACAAAAATTTCTATAAAACATTCCATGACTTAGTTTTAGCCCCGGGGGAAAAAAAAACTGACCTAGGAAGAAGAAAATACTCCAAGAAGGAGACTGAATGGAGCAAAAGCACTGAAAAAATCAAGCTGAGGAGTCAAAGAGTTGCGGTCAAGTTCCTGAGGTGCTGTGACCACACAGGTTTTCTTGCCACAGGTTTGCTTTGAGAGGGAGACATGGGGCGAGGAGGAAGGGGACTGGCAGAAAGACTGGGACCCCAAGTCCAATTGTGTCTCCACGACTACCTATGTGCTCATGTGTAGGTGATTACAATTCTGTGGGACTCAGTTTCCTCATTTTCATTACCAAAAAAGGGGTGGGGTGGAATTAAGCTAGGCCACAGATAGGGTCCCGCTAGCCCAAACGCTGGATGATTTTAGGAACCACGTGCTAGCTATATTGCTATGAAACCCCTAAAAACATTTTGTTAGAATTCCACTAAAAAAGAAAAATTAAGGATTATCTCAGCTGTTTATCATAGCAGCAGAAATAAACAGAAATGATTAAAGTCAAATAATCCTTATAAAGATGTGCATTATTAAAGGCAGATACTCTACTGGGCTCATTAGGAACCAAAGTGAATCTCTGACTAAAAATCCTCTCTGTATGTAAATTTTTAACCTTAAACTATTGTATAAGAAGTGATACTTACATTAATGGATTCAATTTGTCCAAACTCTTCAAACAGATTAGTTAAATCTTGCTGGGTTGCCTTCTTATCCACCTGACCAACCCACAAAGTAGTACTACATACTGTCAAGACATAAAAGAGACAAATGACCTAAATCACACAGACATAGCTATTTCTTTCAAGCAACTGAAGAAAAAGCACTAATAAAAATAAGATTTAAGATGGATATTTCAAACACTTAAGTGACATTTTTAGCTGTTAACGCTTAAAATGAACTAAAATCCCAGATACCATCTACATCTATTGCAAATCAACCTCTTGTGTATTACCTGTTCTCAAGCTTGGCAGCGCACTTTAATCACCTATGGATACCTGGGTCTTACCCCAAAGGTGAAGGGTTTTGGGGTATGACAGACTGGGAATTGGGAGTTTTAAAATTCTGTATGTAATTCTCATAATGTAACAAAGTCACAAAAACACTTTTCACTGCAATCCTATCTCTGCACCTTTAATCTTTCTGTGCTGGAATGATTAAGTGGATGTTTCTTCCTAATCAACAGTTAAATCTGAAAACAGCACCTTATCCTTAAGGAAATAATTTGCACAGAGATACAAGGGGGAAAAGGCTGAATTGGATGGAACTCCTTAACTTGTTATCATGAAAAACTTGTAACACGCTTTAACTGTGGGAAGCATTTCCCTTTAAGAAACAGACCTACACATGAGCTATCCCGCCTACTATAAGCTGTACCGTTCAGGACTCTGTGAACATTTCCTTTTCCTGAAAACACTTACTTACAAAATATTTACAACAGCTGATATATTTGCAGAGTTTTAATTAATCTACATTTACATCAATGTCATTTTTAAAGACAAAGTTTTCAGCCTTTTGATGATCTTTTATCTATTATCGGGCAGGGCTCAAGCAGGTTTTACTCTAGAGCTAATTTAGCATCACACTAGTGACTATTGCAAGATCTCTACTGAATGAAGGTTTTCAACCAGGTCTCTCTACTCCAGCTGGTTTGAACTCAATAGGTCTTCCAGACCTGTGTTAGCTTTAAGAATCACTCAGCTAACAGATTCCCTGGTAATGTTCTTACTCTTCTTTGCCTCACATAGTCTTCACCCCATGTACATGTAATTTAATATTCAACCAAAGTCTCAAGGAGCAATATATTAGTTTTACTCTATTGCTGTAACAAAATACCACAAACTTAGTAGCTTAAAACACAAAAATGTATTCTCTAACAGTTGTGGAGGTCTAAAATGGGTCAACAAGCCTGCATTCTTTCTGGACTCTCTAGGGGATAATTTGTTTCCTTGACAAGCTCCCTACATTCCTTGACTCATGACCCCAACTTCCATCTTCAAAGCCAACAGTGGAGCATTTACCTATCTTCATCTTTCTCCTTCCATCTTCACATCACCTTTTCTCTCTGACCCTCTTGTTTCCCCTAGATTACACTGAGCCCTTCTGGATAACCCAAGTTAATCTTCCCACACCAAGATCCTGATTAATCATACAATGTGATGCAACATATTTACAAGTTCCAATAATTTGGATATGAACATCTTTGGAGGACCACTACTCAACCTACCACAAACCCTCAGTAAATTTCTAGACCTCTTTCATTGAAAAGTTCCCACTGCTTCATTACTCTACCACATCACAGCTGCTTTAATCTCCCTGAAATACATTCCATGTTTCCCCTACTGTTTCAAGGTAGTCTCTCCACAAATTTTTCCCACAACTTTTTTTTTTTTTAAACCCAGAAAGCAATAATGAATCTCCCCCATCCCACGAGGAGAGGACACTAATTCCTAGAATATTACTGCTTGTTGATGTTTCATATCCACTGCACTATTCATGAATACTCTTAGGTTCAAAGGACTAATGGCAGGGAAATACTACCATATTTGTTTAAAATGCGTTGGGGCCACATGAAATTGATATTGCTGTGGAGTAAAGAGAGTTTTGAGGTAAATAATGAGGGATATACTTTTCACTGTATTTTCTTATGTGCTTTCTGAATTTTCTTTTTTATTTTTTACTTATGAAAAAAACCACAGCAATAGGAAATAGATTCCATGGTCAGTAACTATGTAAATGGTGGAAGCTATAATATGACAAGTAAAGTGAGGAACTAAATGGAAGACTCCATATAAAAGCCCTATCCTAAAACTGGTGATTCTGAATGTCCTAATGGTAATCATGAGAAGGGAGGCACAGCAGAGATTTTATGGTCAGGCCTTTGATGTTATTTCTTTATCATACAGCACTAAAATGTTTGAATTTGGTCTCTCACCCTAAGGAGATAAATACATTTTCAGAGTTAGGAATATCAACATTATTAAATTAACACTGGCTCTCATAATCAGGTAAGATTCTGGCAAGATAGCCACAGCTTACTGAAAATGCCAGAACTTAGTAAGAGGCTAGATGTTGCCTTTAATTATAAAGCCTGGATTTCCAGGATGATTCAGCAGTATAAGTTATACCAATTATTTATCTATCTCCATGGCAGAAAGAATTTGGAGACCTTCAGAAATTAGACAACCTGATCAGTGTTCAGCTCTTGGCAAAGAATGACAATTTGTTCCATTTTATGTACTTTGCCCGTCTGCAGTCGGTTTGTTCACCTTAGAAATCATAACTCACTAGGAATCCTTCAGGAATAATCCGGTACTAATTACAACTCATATTCCTACCAAGTGAACTCTCCTTCAAACTCTCACTACTACCAAATTTGTTCTAATTATACATTACAGATTAACATATAAAGGAGGGAAAGTTTGTACAATGGGAATCTCTCCCTTGTTGCTGATCCAGTAAGTTTACAATTAGCTTTAAAATTCACATGCTTCCTTCAATAATTATTCCCCAGACCTGGTGGTCAAACTTGGTTAGACACTTTGAATAGAAATCAGTGTCTATGTAAAAGACAGTAGGCCTAGTCCACTTTATATATTATTAGTCAGGTTCTATATTTTCTAATTTGAATTTTAAAAAATCAACTCTAAATGACCTTAGTGTTTCAGTAGAACCTGTTCTTCCTTTTTCTTTTCTCCTCTCTCACTTTACAAAAACCAAGGATAAAATTATTCATTTACCAAATTACTTTTCGATTTCTTAGTCTAAAAATAGTTAACTTTAGCAGTTAATGATTTTCTTAATTATTTGTTGAAACCAAAGCTTTGTAAAAGTATGTCACTTACCACTTAATGTTTTAGATCTAATTGGAGGTAGTCCCTTCTTCTGTCGTTCTTTCTCCCTTTCTCTCGCTCTCCTTTCACTTGAGTATGAACGTGATGATTTCCTCTTTCTTTCTCTTGAGCGTGAGCGTGATCGCTTTCTGTGTTTACGCTTTCGAGAACCAGATCGCGACCGAGACCTTCGTTTTCTTGGTGATCTACAAAAAAAATCTTATTTTACTTCTAACGACAATATTATTCTTCTGTCAAATTTCTCACTTCTAGGTGAGGGGGAAAAAACCACACCCACACACAAAGGGTTGTCTTATATTTAGCTACCTCTTAAAAAATGTTTAAGTAGAAAGAAATATCAAACATGTATTTTCTCAAATCTATGTACTGCTCAGGCCCATACTGTAATAGATGTTTGTTTGCAATGATTCTTACTGAGACCAGGAAGAAGAGAATGAGATTCTATCCAGTAAGGGCCTTACTTTCTTTAGTGTCCTCCAATTCATTTTTCAAACAAGAGTCAAGAATAGGAATGAAAGACTGAAGAAAATAAAAAGATCCTTAGGTGATAAAGACGTTACATTCTTAAAATTAGGAAACAGAGAATGTTTCCAACAGAGAATTAGGCCACTAAAGAATTCTGCATATAAGTTTTCAACTCCTAAAATTTCAAGGTGCTTGCCTTAAAATACAGGGTGATACTGTTTCTTTTTTTCCTGTCACCCATATGCCACTGCGCTGCTTCAAAATGCTTAATAAGGAGGTGTTGTTAAGACAAAGAAGCTGCTAAGATTTCAGTTCTAACACTGTAACTGCTTTAGCAAGATTACTCACTGACATGAGATGGGTTTAGAGAGAGTGGAACTCACAAGCTCTCGTTTACAAGAGGTAAATACAAATAACCTCTTGAAACAAGTAAGGAATGACTGAAAAAGTCATCAAAGATACTGCCCCTTTTCCAGCATACACTGTTCAGATTTTCAGGGGTATTTATGTACAGAAAATAGAGTATTTAATATTAAAGACTAATGACTTAAAGTTTTAAGACAATTTGTAGCAAAAACACTACATATAAATAACTTCAACTCAAATTTGAATAAGCATGTACATTGAGATTTAGCCATGTTGAAAGCTAACAAAGAAAACCACAGGATATACTTTATTATAATCTGATACTATGCTTGATGTTTACAAAATAATTCTTATAGTTTTATTTTTATGATCACTTTTTGTATTATAAGATGAAACAAAATCTAAGAAATACAGTGGAATTTCTAACACTGTTCCTCTATAGCTTGAGTGAACAGTTTTCAGAGGCAATAATATCCTAACCTGGGTGTAATCATAACATTAATAACTAAAATCAGGTATAATCCCAAATCCAAGTCTTAGGATATGGCTGCAATTAATGTATATTATGCAAATAAAAGCCACAGATATATCCAATTAAAAGAGAACAAAGAATTTTTCTGTTTTTGAAATTCTGAATTACTTCTTTCTGGAGAATATGTCATTTTAAGAAAAACACTTCCTTTAATCTCGATACAAAGAAACACAGCCAACTTTCAAAGTTCACACACAGCTACTCTTAAATATTATTGTAGAACCTTGAACGAGATCGTGAATGTGTTCTTGATCTTGAGCGAACAGCCACTTTCTTTGCTTCTTGTTCAAAGATCTCCTCTTCCACTCCATCTTGCCCTTCATCTATATCCATATCCTTGAAAGTCAGAAGAACAGCAAACAAAATGCCCGAGTGAGATGCAGTATATACTGACAATTCTGCCTTACAAAATATTCACCATAGTAGCATTAATGCCTAATATTTACCTAAAATGGTTAGTACAGAGCTTAAGTGTGAGGAAAAAATATTTAGGACATTACCATTACCTTACATAAAAATAAAATATTTTACATAAAAGAAAAACATTTACCATATTTTATAATATTTTCCTCTAATTAATTTTAGAAATTTATGACCCAGAAAAAGATTTACTTTTTACCTGTTGCTGAATATCTATAGAATCATCCAAATTCACTTCAGGTTCAAGGAAATGCTGCTGACTGCTCCCCTGTGATGGTGAGGCGGAATGCTCTGATCCAAACGTGCCCTCTTGACTATCCTGAGGGGTTGCCTATCGAAGATGTATACAAACACACAAACATTAAGAAACCATGCGTATTATTCAACAGAATTTAAACATACAAACTTCACAAAGTTTTAAAAAGGAGCCCAACACATATAGAAATCCCATGTTAAATTATTTATAATCAACCTAAAATTATACTTCTGTACAAATCCAAGTTTACTTAAGGGCATGGGACACCTCCATAAAAGAAGGAGAAGACTGTAATAGAATGGTAAGATCAAGTAAGTCTTCAAACGAATTTTTACTTATGGAAAATATAAACATTATACTTTCAAGAATAAAGGGATTACATCATGAAAGATATATAATAGCACTAAGTTAAATGAATCTAGAACTTCAATGGCAACTAGCATTTTTGTAAAGTGCTATAAATTAAAATGCTATAATACTTTTAATGTAAAAGTATTTTATGTTAAAGAACTAAGTCATTCATTAATGTATAGAGGCAAAACAAAACTCAAATATCATTATAAATTAACTGATCTAGCAAAACAGTTCTCAATTTGGGCCTTCCTCAACCTCCACCTCTAGAAATTAGCCAAACAGTATTAGGAAGTACTCTGAAATATGTAATACATTTCAGAAACTAATAAAAGTTAGGCAATGAAGACTAATTAAAGGAACATTTAAAATTTGAAATCTCCCCCCTCCTTTTTTGCTGGGACCAGATTTACAGCAACTGGATACAGTGACACTACTTAACGTGATACTTACGAGTATGAAGCTGACTGAGCAATTACATATATTATGGTGTTAACTAAAAATGAGAAAACTAATTATGAAAAAGTCTCCCTACATAAACTTTTCTAAAACACCTCTGCAGGTCTTAAAGATTAATAAGAATAGTTCCTGGTAGTATACAAGCTGGGAGCTACTGTAGTAATTAACAGAGAAGATTAAGTAAAAAATACTATTCCCTTGCTACAAACTCTGTGACTGTGAACAAGTTACTTGAATTGTGAAATTTGGTCTCCCTATCTGTAAAAGGAGTACCAACATAGTGACTACAGGTAACAATATTGTATTATAAACTTCAAAGTTGTTAAGAGACTTTATCTAACTGTTCCCACCACAGAAAAGTGAGTTTCATGACATGACAGAGGTGTTAGCTTATTACAATATATAAGTGTATCAAATCACAATGTTGTACACCTTAGTTATATATTGTATCTCAGTAACATTTTTTAAAAAAAAATCTTATTCTAATGAATCTAATATGAAAGAGAAAACATAAAAATTCAGAGTCAAAAAGAGCATTTAAAGACCCATTCCAAGTTTCTCACTTTATGAAGGAACAGGTTCTCTAAGAACAAGTAACATTTTTAGAAATAAATGAAACTAAAGTAGAAAAGACTTCTTTGAAAACACCTATTACATGCCAATCTTGCCAAAACATCAGTAAGCAAGAACTCTTCCCGAACAAATCAAACAAACACATTTTAATCAAGTCCTGGCTTATGTCTTTGAAAGTATGGTAACAATAGAATTTTTAACACAAAAAGGGAATTTTCAGCTCCATTCTGAATCTGTTTGGTCCTAAATTCAGTATGCATATATTCTTCACATCATATTTTTCTTCTCCATTTATCTTAAGCTTCATATTCCCCCCCATCCTGTTTTTTACCCTTATTTTTCTATTTAATGGTTAACTCTTGGTATAACCACCAAGATCTACTGCAACTAATTTTAGTTTTTGAGGTTCTTGTTTGAGTTTTACCCACTTGAAAAGACTATAATCTCATGACCTTTATTCTTTCTTAGAGGTCTTATGAAGAACGAGAGAAAATTTACTTTAAAATTTTATATGTATAGTGTAATCATATGTATAGTCTATGGGTGTAACCATAATATTATTAACTAAAATCAGGTATAATCCCAAATCCAAGTCTTAGGATATGGCTGTAATTAATGTATATTATGCAAATAAAAGCCACAGATATATCCAATTCAACTAAGGGACGCCAGGGTGGCACAGTCAGTTAAGTGACCGACTCTTGGTTTCTGTTTAGGTCATGATCTCAGTCAGGGTTGTGAGATAAGCCCTACTTTGGGTTCCGTGTAAGTGCAAAGTCTGCTTAGGACTTTCTCTCACTCTCCCTCTGCTCCTCCCCACCCCCACCACCCGTGCGCAGTCGCGTGCACGGGCTCTCCCTCAAAAAAATAATTATTTAAAAAATAAAAATTCAGCTAAAAATTTATCCTATTATCTTGCAATTATAGCACTAGGTCCATTGGACCCTTTCCTGTATCTAAGAAATGTTATGGGATCTTAGAGGTCTTATTATCCTACATACTGAAACATTTTGCTATTTTATCATCCTAAGAATTATTATTATCCATCATTTCCAATTATTTCAAGAAAGACTAAAATAATACAAAAAAGAAAAAGCAATGTAATTGTCAAGAAGGGTGATTCAATAATGAAATAAAATCATCACCATCCAGTTTTACTGCATTACCAAAAATACTGTTTATTTCAAGAAGGTAAAAATGAGATTGGAGACACTATCTTTGTAGTCTGCTTTTAAGCTTTACTTAGAACATAGCTGAATATTTAGATTTTTTCATTTCTGTACATAATGGCAAAGAGAAGAAAACTGACAGGAACATATTTCATAATTATTAAACAAAACAGAACACGAATACAAAGAAAGAGCATCATTCTAGACTCTAATGATGTTGAAGTTTAATATCTAAGTGAAATATCAGACTGAGTTTTCAGATGACCATATCCTAAATGTATTTCTCAAACTCCAAAACTGATGGCAGAAAAATGTGTCTCTAAGGACAAAAAGAGGGTCTTTTCATCCACTTATTCAGTTAATATTTATCTTACAGTATTTTGCAACAAGAACCTAGACTGTTCTATTTTGCTAAAAGAACATGTGATATTTGGGGTGCCTGGGTGGCTCAGTCGTTAAGCGTCTGCCTTCGGCTCAGGTCATGGTCCCAGGGTCCTGGGATCGAGCCCTACATCGGGCTCTCTGCTCCGCAGGAAGCCTGCTTCTCCCTCTCCCACTCCCCCTGCTTGTGTTCCTGCTCTCGCTGTCTCTCTGTCAAATAAATAAATAAAATCTTAAAAAAAAAAAGAAAGAACATGCGATATTTGAATTTAATTGACACAAAAAGGTTTGCTACATTTCAATTGTTATATTAAAATTGCTCATAAAGTATTTTCCCCTATCCCTTTTAGTTTCACTTCTCTAAACTATCTGTGAGAGGACTTCAAATATATTTTAAAAGGATCCACTGGGCCCAGGTGGCAAATGACTGCTTTTTTGATATACTGGTATACATCCTTAGTATACGTTCTGGTATACACTTCTAGTTTCTTCAGTGATGTCCTCATGTAAAGCATCAATACTGAAAAAATAGAAGACAAGGATAACAGCAACTAGCAGATACTTCTTTTGAAGCTGGATTAACACACTGTCACATTTTGATCAGTTATAGATCCATGTTCCTCCACTTTTTTCTGTGTAAGTGACAGGAAAGACTTTGTCAAAAGCCTTACTGAAATCCACACATGCTATGCTATAATCCTACAACTGCAGTACCATGAAATGCAATTGATGTGAGCCGAGACATCAAATCACTTAAAGCAACTCAGGGCTCTTAATATTATCACCCATCTTAGGTTTTATCATGTTCAATTCTACTCTTTCCATTATATTTTCCTATATAAAAAAAAAACTGAATCAAAGTAAGTTACATATGATAGCTCCTCATTATTAAGTGGCTGAATCTTCCATAACCTTTGTATTCCTAACATTCTTTTAAAAGCCCTTTTTATCAGTCTTACCATTTTTATTATCAGTATTTCATCTTGAGCTATAGCTTTCCTGACATCTTTTGAATATCCTGATAAAACAATCACCACTATCATGAACTAGAACTTACTTCAGACAACGGCAATCATTCTCCATCCAACATGACTATTACTCCCTTCACAATTCAGCCACTTCTTGGAAGTGCTCTGTTTTCAGTGGTTTTCTGTTGTTAGGGATACTAGATATGAACTCACATGCAGGTGTGGTCAGGACTGTAATGAGTAGGGTAGCACCAGAAATCCGTTTCCTTTCTCTAAGACACCGTAAGAACTTTTAGGCGGCCACAATGAGCTTACTGGGAAACAAAAATGCTTCATTTTTCTGCATATTTCAGCCTATCTTCATCATATGAAAGCAACTGGTTTCGTAGAGCCAATTACACAATTTATTAAATTTAATGGTTACCCTGCTGATATACTTTCCAATTTGAAATTTGTCATAGGTTTTGAACACATCTACCTGATGTATTAGAAAAGTTGCTTTTCTTTCACCACTCCCTTTCTTCAACACTCATTTCTGAACAACAAAAGCTTTTAACAATATCTAATTCTTTCAAAAGGATCTAATTACTGTATCCTTTAAAATTCTGGAGATAATGTATTAACTAAGCCCAGAGCTCTATTTTTCTTTTGGTTGGTGAGATTCTTAAGACAGAATAACCCTGGGAAACGGAATGGGAAGAAATCAGACAGGGAGACAAACCACGAGAGACTCAATTATGGGAAAGAAACTGAGGGCTGCTGGAGGGGAGGTGGGTGGGGGGATGGGGTAACTGGGTGACAGGCATTAAGGAGGGCACGTGATGTGATGAGCACTGGGTGTTGTTTGTAACTGATGAATTACTGAACTCTGCATCTGAAACTAATGATGTACTATATGTTGGCTAATTTAAATAACTTTAAAAGAGAAGAAAAAGAATAACGTTCTCTCAAGTTTCTAGGAATTTTCACTTCAATAATTTGGTGTTAATTTTAAGAGTACTACCTTGATTTTACTGCTCCTTCTGAACCTTCTGAAAGGAAACTGGAACTAAGACAATCAAAACTACATTTATAGATGGACAAATCTGATGTTTGGATAAACTTTTCCATCACGACTGCCCCTTGCCTTTGTAACAGCTCTGTGACCTTTTTTATTACATTACTGACAACCTGTTTCTTTTCATTGATTTACAACTGTGTTCTTCTTTAAACAACATCCAAATGTTCTACATTGTGCTCTATCTTTAAAGTTCCTGAATTCTCAGGCAGATATATCTGCCTGACATAAAATACTACACCTACTCCAACCACTTCTATCAGAATTATTCCTTCAAAACAAGGTCTAGAATTCCATTCTCATAATTCCAGGTATACGTCCCAACCTAGCAAATACCATTAATATCCATTTTATGTTTACTATTTGATTTAAAAGGACAAGTTCAGACCCCAGCAGTGTCCAAGGTTTGTTATCCCTTTAAACTAAAGTAACTCTTCTCTCTTCTTTATTTCCAACTGTCCTTCACTTGTACCTCTATTACAGAACCTAGAATCCTGCCCTATGTTCATACAGATGTACATGTTCCATTAGAGGAGAGATTACTTGAGGCCAGATGCTTTTTTGTTCATCTCTGCATATATATCATTTGTCTAACAACACATTGCTCATACTTCAAAAACGTTTGTAGTATTATTTTAGTGCCAAAAAGTTTTGCTATTAGGAAGAAGTGTGATTGGGGGGAATTTAAAAACACTCATATTCTAAACAGTTTATATCTATAAGTGTTTCTCACATGGAGCAAAAACAGGCTTTGTAATGGATTAACCCTGCCTTTGCAACTTGACGTATTTTATCAGTTCTAAGGTATGATCCTTCTTCACATATTATCATCCCTGTAATTTATTAAGGTTCTTTTAATTCCATAGGATGTTGTACTTTTGAAGTGATTAAAAATTCTTAGCTGTACATAAAATAATGGTGTCTCAAGACTAATGATACATGATATTACTATATAGTTTTGCAATGGATGTTTAATTTCACTAAGGTACAATGGAAGTCAAAATGCTATCTCATAGCATTAAATGTAATCATGCCTCATAAACTTCCTGCCACACAGTAATAGCCTAATTAAAGGCAGCAATCTATTTTGTTGATCACGATCAACCAAAGCAAAATCATCATGACCTTGCTTGATAGGGAACTGGGTGGAGAACAGCACATGAAGTTTTAAGTTGTAATACTGAAACACCACCTCTGGCTTCTGTTCTCCACTGCTTGTATACCAAGCACATGTATATATCTAGAACACATTCTGATAACAGAAAAGACTATAAACGTTCTGAAAAGGCTGATCTTCCTAGCAATAAAACTGAAGAAAAATCACCATGCTTGAGAAACACCACTTTATAAATGTAGATAGCAGTAACTCTAAAGACCACAAGATGGAGTTATAAACCTTTTGAGGCTGTTGCTGTTCTAGGAGTTGCTGTCTGAGATGTTCAAGGTTTTGCTGCTGTAGCTGTTCAGCTATCTGATGAAAAATGGAATTGTTCACAGATTCTGAAACATGAGAACTAGAAGGAAAAACAAGTAGAAACATTTTAAAACCCAGTGAAAATACAAAAATAACTGATTTTTCAACCTCCCCCATGCCAATTAAATGAAACATACTCTACTACAATGTTTACTTTTGAAATATTAACAGAAAATGGAATACCTCAGAACATTAATATGTTAAAATAGAAAGATACTCTCCAACAGTCTTTCAATAGATGGATAACATGTTAAAGATACTTTGATGGAAGATCTGTTATTATGATCTCACACTATTAAATACATATAAATTAGTATTTTTTACATTAGAGTACTTTAAGAAAATTTCAATGAAACATATAAAAACAGTTAAAAGTATTTAAACATTGTCACTTTAACTCCTTCTCTAACTATAAGATAGCGGGAGAAATGGTCTATCAATCAGTACATGTGAAATCTACAATTGTAATTGACCATAAACTTTACAAAACTAATCTGCTTTCTTTAGAAAAGCATTCACATTATTAGGTATGTTAACAGAAACAGTACTTAGATAAGAGGAAATAATAATTTAACTATACTCTGGGAAATTCACACCTGGAATACACCTGGAATTCTGGGTGCCACAAGGTAAGACATGAACAAAAAAGAGGGCATCCCAAAAGGGGCAATCAGGATGGTGAGAAGTCTTGAAACAGTTGAAAAAAAGTGTACTTCATCTGGAGCAAATAAACCTAAGGGGAAGAATGATACCTAACTTCAAATATTGAAAGGCTATGTCTCAAAAGATAATGGAGCAAATTTGTTTCCTTGCTTCAGAATGCAAAACGGATCAGTGTGTATAAAGTAAATCAAACAGGATTCAGTAATAAAGATTATTTAACTTCTCATCATAGAAAGCATTAAAACATTATAAAAATATCCTATCAGAACCATTAAAGATTCTTACATTGTTCAGGACATTGATCTACTAGATCTCAAATGTTTCTCCTCTAACTGTGTAATTCATAATCTGAAATATTAGATTTTAATTTTTCAAGTAAAATCTCTTTACCAAAAAGATATATGTATTTTTATGTATTATATAAATGTATTTTAAGAGATTATCCCAATATATAAAATTAATAAACTCTGTTTGAAATAAGATTCCCAGAGGCATTCCCTCCATTCACCATCCTCCATCCTCCCATCCTCCACGCCCCAACTCTCCAACATCCTCTTCCCCACTGGTCCTTTCTCAAACCTATAAGAACCTAGAGCTGCACAGAACTGCTTGAGAAAAGAAAATCACTAATCTAAATAAAAATGTACAATCCATATCTTAAAAAAAACAGAATCCCTATAATCCCAATCTTTACTTCTGATGAATCAGATATACTCCCAGAATTTGGCAGAATTCCTTGAAGTGTGGCCACTGACACTAGAAGCAAGCTTGTTTCCTATTATTTCAAATATTCTTACAATTGAATAAAATAATGCCTAATACAGACATAGAAAATATCACAACTATATCACATCTATCAATTCTCCTATAAAGAATTTTGATATATCCCTAATATTTGCAAAGATCTGAGAAAGGAGCCAAAATAAATAGGGAGGCAACAAGACAGCGACTCTAGCATCTTTCTGTAATGTTAGAACTCAAGAGCCTGAAATTATATCCCAACATATTCAAAGTATACCTGGCAGTTCAGAAGGCAATGTCCCATCCAATGTTTATAATAATAATGGGGAAAACTTATGGTTATAAAGAAAAACAACAATTCTTACAGTTGAGAAGCTGAAATTTCCTTTTTGGGTTCTTCACTATGCTCAGAATCTTCCCCAAAATCAAACCTATCCATCAACTTCTAAGTGGGGAAGGAAAAAAAAGGAGAAAAAGACAAATTAAAAGGTGATTCACACAAAAATAAGGTACAAATGCTATTCTGAATGTCAATGACATCCAATTTACCTCTATCACATTAATACATAAATGTTTTACATAATTTTGTTATTCTATAATAAAGCATTTAATTTGAGTGAATATTTTAAAGTACTTTTGACATACACTGCTTTATATAACAAAACAAATCACAGGAGAAACACTAATGCTCTATAGAAGAGAAGATTGGGATTTAAAATAATTACTGTGGCTTGCCGATAGTAATAAAGCTTGATTAAAAAACATCTAGGACTATAATCAATGATCTATTCCTAGTACACTTCTCTTCTTAGGCTGCTCTATTGTCTCCCAAATGACCAATTTAAAGGTTTTTTATGTGGGTTAGCTATTTTTTTTTTTTTTAAGTAGGCTCCATGCCCAGCAGGGAGTCCAATGCAAGGCTTGAACTCATGATCCTGAGATCAAGACCTGAGCTGAGATCAAGAGTTGGACGCTTAACTGACTGAGTCACCCAGGTGCCCCCTATGTGGTTTAGCTATTACATTTTCAGACTAAATTAAGCTGATAGCTAAAAAAGTCTAAAGTAATATAATATACCAGTATTTATTTTCCTAAAAAAATATAGTAGCAGAAACAAAAATAATATGGATAACACTTCCAAGGTATTTTAATATTCTCATAATTAATAAGAACATTGAGGTGATCACACAATAAATTATACATGAAAGATTTTCAACTTTAAAACCACTATCCTTTATACTTAGGCCTCAATTTATCATAATATTACAGTATAATGACAACTCTAGAGAAGTTTTCCTGTGAACTTTCACATTTTGAACAATTATAATTTTAGCAGGTTAAAATTTTAGAACATAGAACATCAAGTATTTGTTAACATCCATAAAAGAAATTAGAAAATTGAGAAAATTGTATTTGCCTCAATGGTGAATATACAATTTTACTGACCAGTTATTTAGTTAAGAGAATCTAAATGTTTCAAGTGGAATTTTTTTTTTTTTTTAAAAGATTTTATTTATTTATTTGACAGAGAGAGGCAGTGAGAGAGGGAACACAAGCAGTGGGAGTGGGAGAGGGAGAAGCAGGCTTCCCGCGGAGC